TTTTTCAGAGCAAAGCCAATTGCAAATGATTGCAAGCTCTATCAAACAATCAGCCTAATGAGCCACATAGAGAGGAAATAGGACAAGAACAGTGCAAGTTTGTTAAAGACACTGGAACAAGGAATGTGGAATGTACTATTCATGCTCAGAATGATATTAGAAAGAGCAATACAACTGCAGAAGGATGCATATCTACATTTTATAGATTATGCAGAATCTTTTGATAAGATACTATACAAAGAACTATGTGAAATGGTAGGTAAGCTTGATTTGTTTGGAAAAGATTTTAGAATAATCTAGAACTTATACTGAGAACAATCCACCTCTGTATATACGGATAGAAAATAAATTCAATAAATACACAAAAATAGGAAGTGGATATGTTTTTTCACTGGACTTATTCAACTATTACAGTATGACAATATATAGAGAATTAGATGTCTTATCAGGATTTATTATAAGTGGGCAAAATTTTAACAACATAGGATATGCAGTTGATAGTGTTGATAGCAGACACAGAAAACAAAAACTACAGGTATTCTTACAGAAGATAAAAAGGAAAGTGAGAAGAAAAGGCTAAACATGAATTATAAGAAGACAGAATGTATGCCAGTTAGCAAATGAAACAGTCCAAAATGCAAACTACAAATTGAAAACACAAAGATCATGTAAGTACAAAAATATATCTGGAAATTATTTTAACAGAAGACAAAAAAATACAACACCAAAATCTGAATATAGTAAAAGATACCTTCCTAAAGCTCAGAAAATATTACGAAACAGAACAATTTTGTTAGAAACAAAGAAAAGAGTACTGAACTGTTATGTAATATCAGTCCTTCTATATAGCAGTGAATGCTGGATAATTTCTTCACAAATGAAAAAGATGCAACAGAAATGTGGTTCTACAGAAGGATGCTGAGAATAACATGGACTGGACATGTGAGTAATGAGGAAGTTTTAAAGAAAATGGAAACAAAAAAGACACTTATAGTTAGTACCAGAAACAGACAGTTGAAATATCTAGGGAACATAATGAGAAGTTGAAAGAGGGCCTGGAAAATTTGACACTCACAGGAAATATTTCAGGTGAGAGGGACAGAGGAAGGCAATGAATAACCTATCTAATAATTTTATGTAAATGAAAGGCAGAATAAGGAGTTGGGGCTGAGCAAAAAGACAATCCAAAATAAGAACCACAAAGGATAGGAAATTGACGAGAGCCTGAAGAGAAATGGCACAAAGAAGCTTATTGATGTAATGAATTGAGCAATATTGACTGTAACTCAACAAACATGGCTGACAGCATTGCAAAATGTAATACTGGTTTTCAGTCTTTATTTTCACAGGCAATTTAGTCAGGAAAAGTATGTGTTAGCAAGTCCATCAACTTAGTTGGTTTATTTTTTTTAAAGTTTGTACAAAAGTTACAATATTTTCATCAGTAAACTTAGAATTACATCATGAAAACTATAACAACATTGTGTATACAAATTGCAAATTTTATTATTTCTCATTTTTGAAACTGAGTGGATTTTATTGGTAAAAAGGCTGAACAGATAGTTAAAATTCATCAAAACTGAAACTTTATGCAGTTGTTTTCTACTTTTTATATATATATATATATATATATATATATATATATATATATATATATATATATATATATATATATATATATATATATATATATATACATATATATATATGTGTGTATATATATATATATATATAAGCATGCACATATATATCAGCATCATGTATTATATATATATGACATGTTATATACAAATACATATGTTCATATTCCAACACACACACACAGACATATATATATATATATATATATATATAATCTATTACACCTAGCAAAAAACATGTAAATTACTAAAATTTAATGCGTTTAAAGGTGAACAGATTCTTGTAAAAGAAAGTGGTCAATATTAAATATAGAGCAACAATAGTCAGGATAAGGAAAAGTTCAAAATAATTATCTTAGGAATCACTTCAGGTTTTGCAGACACATGTGGCATGTCTGTGAGACTTGAAGTTGGTCCATATATATATATATATATATATATATATATATATATATATATATATATATATACCTGTCTGTGTGTGTGTGTGTGTGTGTGTGTATTCGGTGCATATTATTTTTGTTCAGGAATTTTTCATTTATGTAGGTTTAATTCAAGACCAACAAAAGTTTTCTTGTTTGTTGATAGGTTTATGTCTATAGATATACATCATGTTCCTTTGGTGGTTTTCAAGTGTTACATCTTTATACATCTGTGGCTGTCATGTCAGATTTTTTTCAAGTAACATATTTTCATGCATTAGTTTGTGGTGTCTTGTCATTTTTTAGTTATGATATATATTTGGTATGCATGTTCATAAATTGAAGGAAATTTTGTTGATGCTGAATTGCCTGATTTTTATAGTTAAGACTTATAGTTGCTGATTATAGTTTATATGGTATATTCCATAGAAAAATGGGGAGACACAATCTGATGCATGAAGTAATACTTGGAAAATAACCTGAAATGTCACCCAGTCATGTGTGTAGACATGACACTCAAATACCACGAAAAAGAAACACAATGCATAACTATAACCACAACTCTATCAACCTACAAAACATATTTTATAATGGCTTATGAAATATGAAGATGTTCCGAAGATATTTGATAATTTATGTTTAAATTCTACCTGGAAACCAGAAAAATTGGTCAAACCATAGATAAAAATAAATAAATGCTAAACAAAGGACTTACACTGATTTTCAACCAAATCTTTCCCTCTCTCTCATACACACACACACACACATGCAAACAAGAAAACATAGTGCATAAATACAGATAAAAACATATTTTACATATGTATGTCAAGATCTACTATCAATGTGTGCAAGTATATATATATATATATATATATATATATATATATGAGAGAGAGAGGTGTATATATATATATATATATATATATATATATATATATATATATATGAGAGAGAGGTGTGTATATATATATATATATATATATATATATATGAATCATAAATATATTTGTATAAAAATTTAGTGATAATTCAACTTAATGATTGCTTTTACTCAATGCTGAAAAAATTAATGTTGAGATTATACTGTTTTACATTTTCTTTTTTGGTTATTTTATTTGAAAATTTTTTTGTAAGGGCCAAAAATTTCATATCAGCACCTGATATATGTTGTTATCACACAAACCTGTTGTATTGTTGTTTGTGTGTGCATATATATATATATATATATATATATATATATATATATATATATATATATATATATATATATATATATATATATATATATATATATATATATATATATATATATATATATATATATATATATATATATATATATAAATATATATATATATATATATATATATATATATATATATATATATATATATATATATATATATATAAATATATAAATATATATATATATATATATATATATATATATATACACACACACACAAACCCCACATCAATGGAATTGCTGGTTAAATGTCTTCTCATAGGAAACCTTTTAGACAATACTTAACTCATCTGATAATGAGGCTTAAAAAATCATCTATAAAGCAAGAAAATTGATCATCATTTTAAGATCCCTTATCTTGGTTTGTTTCTTTGTGGTAAATCTAATCCACAAAATGTTGGAAAAGTGTAATTATGTCGCAGCAACTTGATTTTTAGCTCTAATATACAAATACGTACACATATTGAAATATGTAAATAGATGCTAAATAAATGATCTATCAGTGAAACTTGGACCCATAATCATTCTAGAGAACTCAGGTGAAAACTAGTGATGAAGAATAAAATGCCTGAGCATTATAGACTAGGATATGTAAATTCTCTTACTAACAAAGTAGTCAGCTACTTGGATAAAAAGCAAAGGATGTTAAATCTTTTCCAGCTACAAAGGATTTTTAAATATCACTGTCATATTTGTTACTGAATTTTTAACTTGAAATTAAGCAATTAAAACCATTTGAGTATTATTATATCAATCTGTAATCAGTTCAGAATAATCTGTTAGAAAGAGCTTCTGGTTGTGAAATTAAATGCTCCTAAAATCTGTTGTAAGTTAGAGCAAGAAAAATCTTTCAAAAACTAATAAAAGTTTGGTCATAGGTTCAGTTCCTATTTTCTTGAATTAAACTATCCATTTAACATTTGTTTATATATTTAATTCATGTATTGTCTGTATATTAATAAATAAAAATCAAGCTGCCACAAAATAATTATACTAACATATTTGTAAGTGTTGCTTCATGAAAAGTGCAAAAAATGATAGAATTTGTAGTTTAGGTGCAAAACTACTGTTGTAGCTCCTCCATTCAGCATCCGCCCAATCAGGTAACAACTGTGTCCCACCTTCAGCCTAACTTGAAGAGAAAAGATATTTTTTATTATATTCCAGTAATGATGAAATGTGATTTTTCTGTGCACTTATATTGTTATAGTTTAAGAATACTATACCTTCTATAATTTAATCAGTATGAAAAATTGTGTTCATTTCTTTTTTGTTTCCTAAGAAATATTTTACAATCAGAAATGCATAATAATAACAATAATAAATAATAAAGAAACAGCATTTAGTTTTTCATATTCATTTAGGTTAAAAACTGTAAAAAAAATAATTTTATTTTATGGTCTGAAATTAGGGGTGTTAGTTTTTCTGGGTTTTTTTTTTCTCCAAAATAATAAATATTTTTTTGTATGCAAATTACTGTACATGATTAGTAAATTGTTCATTAATGTGATGACAGGTTCATCTGAACACTCTAGCAAGCAAGAATAATCAAACAGTCAACACATTTTCACACTATATACCAAAAGCCCAGTAGGGTAAAAAAAGAAATTTTGTGTTATAATCATTATTATTATCATTATGAGAATTATTATCAACACTGTTATTGATATTAGACTCTCTTTGCATTCTTACCTAATGGACTTCTCAACTCGGACTGTCGTCATTTCTGTTAGTTCTTCCTCAATGCCAAACATTTTTGCCAGAGGCCCAATTTTGGCACATAGGAGAGAGCTGCGATCAGGTTGGCGTAAGTCCGGGAAGCGCCCATGTGGTTGGTATCCACGACATGGAAGGAGCTGGTCATTCGTATTTACACCTCGGTCCATTTCATAGGTGACATCCTGTATATAAAGACATGACCAAAAACAAATTATGTCACTCATGTTAGAGGAGGTCATTTTTTATGCTATTTGCCTGAAGAGATAGCAAGAAAGTAATAGAACTTATATGTTTTTTCTTCTTTCTTAACTGAATTCTTTAGGTGTGACTTTGTTAGAGATCGACAAAAATAAATGTCTTTTATATTTTACCTATTAAAAAATGCAAGTTTTTTGTAGTCATCAACACTCTTAAATAGAAATAATTTTTATTTACTTACAAATCATTTTTTGATAAATCTAAGTGTGAATATATTATGACAATACTGTGAACCTTAATCAAATGAGAAAAAAAAACTGCTGATTTTGTGTTATGGTTTCATACATCTTTAACACATATATTTTAAAATATCATATTCTCAGTAGTGGCTAAAGAACTAAATAAATTACTAAATCACTATGCTATAATGAGCTGGTGATCTTCATTAATTTGATGTCAACATTTTAATGAGGATCTGAAAGTATATATTTTCAACTTCATTTGTAAGAAATAGCAAAAATTTAGACAGAAGTAAACAAATTGTTTGCCTACCCGTGATAGTAGGTTCAAAACAAGGTTACAATTAACATGGAACTCTGCACACATACATGTGGGTAATGTCAGAAATTGTCCAGTTCAACAAGTATGATTACTGTAGAATTCTTTCAATTGCATTCATTTGTTTTTGTTGAAAATTAAACAAAAACTCATTCTTTTAATGTTTATTATACTGAAGTGTTATGACTATAAGAAATAGTCCATGCATTATTTTTCTTATATTTGTCCTAACACATTATTAAGATATCAGTAGTTTTAATGATAAAGATGATGACATCACTATTGGCCTTTCATGAGCAAGTGACTAAAATTGAAGATAAACAATGAAGTTACTCATTATGTTTCCAATATGTTTTATCCAAGCATGAGACTTTGAGACTTTACAGAGCAAACAATTGAATTCTATATAGTAGCCACTTTAATCTCTGTAACTTAGTTCAAAAGAATGTTAATGTTAATATGAACTGTTTCCTTATAAAGAAATATTCAGCATTCATTGAATAATCAGCAGTGCTACTCTCAGATGAAATTTATAAAATTTTTCTATTAAAATAGTTTTTCAGGAAAATAAGTTTCTCAAGTCCAGTAACTGTTTTTGCTCTTTCTAATATTGATGTGAGCTTCCTTCCTAATATTTTGTTTGAAATAGTATTGAACATCAACTTATTGATTATTTCATTATTCTCTCTTCAAGTTACATGTGCTATATTTAGTTGTTGCTTCTGTTGAAAGTCCTTAAGTGATGTGGTTTCTGTTATGTGGTATAATACTTAGATTGTGATTTTGTAGCATCACTCCATAATGTTCAAAATAGGATGAAGAGATTACACTTCTGTAACAAGCTGCATAAAATCAAAGAATGGAACACTCATATTAGAGAAGGAAAAATTCTTCAATGCTGAGAACTCTTCCATGATGAAAGAGAACAACAAGCAATACACAGAACTACTAATGGGCCTGAAATTCTAAAAACTGAAGTAGAAGCTGCTCTGGCAAAATTGAATAAAAACAAGGTGGCAGGGCCAGATGGAACTGTAACAGAAATGCTGACAGCATTAAATGATTTGGACATAGACAAGATCACAGAAATAATAAATCAGGCCAGAGATAGGACAAGAACAGTGCAGGTTTGTTAAAGATAGCAGAACAAGGAACGCAATATTCATGCTCAGAATGTTATCAGTAAGAACAATACTATATGCAGAAGGACATGCACCTGTGTTTTATATACTATGTAAAGGCATTCAACATACTATGCCACAAAGATCTGTTGGAACTGCTCAGCAACCTTGATATATTTGGGAAAGATATTAGAATAATCAAGAACCTATACTGGCAGCAAACGGCCTGCATGCAGATAGAAAATGAGTTCAGCAGATGTACAAAAATAGAAAAGTGCGTAAGGCAAGGATGTGTCTTCACACCAGACTTATTCAACATATACAGCGAGGCAATTCTGAGAGAATTGGAAATCCTACCAGGATTCATCATTGGCAGCCACAATCTAAATAACATAATATATGCAGATGACACAGTGCTTATAACAGACATGGAAAAGAAATTACAAAACCTCCTACAGAAAGTAGTGAAGGAGAGCAAGAAGAAGGGACTAAGACAGAATGCATGGTCATCAGTAAAAGGATGTAAAATGCAATTTATAGATCAGGGACACTAAAATCAAGCAGGTACGGAAATTTAAATATCTGGGAAGTGTTCTGCCAGAGGACGCTAAGTGCGACGCTAAGATCTGAAGATGTATTTGGATGGCCAAAGATGCATTCCAAAAACAAGGCAGGAGGATTTTGTTGGTAACAAAGAAAAGAATACTGAACTGCTTTGTGATATCTGTCCTCCTTTACAACAGCAAATGTTGATCAGTCTCCTCAAAGATGAAGAAGAGACTCAAGGCAATGGAGGTATGGTTCTACAGACGGATGCTAAAGATATCATGGACTGAGTGTGTGAGCAACAATTAGGTTTTGGAGAGGATGCAAACAAGGAGGAAGCTTATACTTAACATCAGGAAGAGGCAGCTGAAATTCCTGGGACATGTAATGAGAAATGAGGGCTTGGAGAATCTGATATTCACAGGGCGAATAGAGGGAAAGAGAGACAAGCGAAAGCAATGTGTGACATATCTAGCAGACTTAAGCAAGTGGATGACAGAACAGAGTTTGTGAGAAGTAGCAAAGGGAGAAAAATTATTGGGAGCTACAAGGGATAGGGGGAAGTGGAGAGCCATGATCGCCTACGACCTGAAGGGACACGACACATAAAAGAAGAAGATATTGATCTTTGCTTATAATAATATCTGTAAATAATAATCTTATCTCAATTATTTGAGTGTTAATTCCTTACTTAAGTTAGTTCTAGAGTATATGAAAATTCAGTAACTTACCTGATAATGACAAGAGCATATATTGATCAAAAGGTTAAAACAGAAAAATTGAGGATATTATTTGAAACATACTCTTAATACAAAACAGAATGTATCTTATATAACAAGTTATTTCTGAAGTGTTTATGAGCTTGTTCAAAGGAAAAACGTTATTTCATGCAACAGTTCTTTATGAAAAAGTGATGCAAATTAATATTGTTAAAAACAAACTTTGGATTGTAATTCATATCTTACCTATCAGTTTTAGCATATTTATTTCTATATACATACAGGCATGTCAACATGCAAACATACATATACAGCATGAGGGTGAAGAATTTAAAACTGTTTTTTAATAAATTAAATGCTCACCTATTTAAGTGACACATATATTTTATGAAAACAAGTTTGTATATATAGGCATGTTATACAGAATTATGAAAGTAATATGAAATTTCCACATTATAAGAGTAGTAATTTTGTTTGGAAATGAGATATATCATATGATGTGGGACATAGATTTACTGTGGAAGATTTTGAAATTAGTGCACTTTCAATACATTTTTGCCTTAATAAATTAGTTTCTGTTTTAATCTGATATATACATTTACATATCATGTATTCCATATGTAAAACTGTAAATGAATGCCCATCTGAAAGACATACTTCTTTTTTTTTTTAGAAATAGTAAACTTGTATGTGGTGAATCTGTTCACTTGGATTCAAACAGATAAGGCTTTATTAGTAAATCAAAGTAGGTTGTTCTCTTTACATGCAACACATTTCTAGTTAGAAGCTAATATATTTTCTTTCTTTTATGATAACATTTCTAGCCTTCTTAGGTGTCTATTGTGTTTTGTAAGGTTCATAACACCTTGTCTAAAAATCAAGCAAGAATAATTCAGTATACTTGGGAGAAGGTTTAGCTATGGTCATTTCAGTGATCTAACATTTATATGGAATTGTCCCAGAAATTAATAATTAAAACATTAAAACCAACAATCACCTTCATACTTTGGCCCACCATTGGATCATGTAAATTAACATAATACTAACATAAAAAAACCCCAAAAGACTTAAAAACTAATAAGTATTGAGTTATATTTGGAGTTTAATTCAAATAAATCATTTTCTATGAAGAAAGAAATTACTCTTTGATCCAATATCTTGCAAAAGTTATGAATACTGATATGCCCTATATAATAAATTGGATCATATATATAACATACTGCTGCATTAAATCAGATTTATTTTGAGAAAATGAGTTATTACAGAGTAGCTAAATACTTAACAGATATATTTACTTTATGCAAATTTTTGAAATATAATTTTCAGAACTATTTAGTAATATTACAGGAAGCAAGTTCTTTATTAATAAGCCTACCAACGGTAACTATTTATACAAATACCTTTAGTTGACATATTCTTACACATTGCTAAAGAATATTACATTAATTATTTTTAGCAATTTCTCAATTTTATGGCAATAACATGTTGTGTTTAAACAGACTATAGCAATGGCTGTAAATTGCTATAAGAATTTCATTGTAAGTATAAACTTTGAAAAAGTATATATGTAATAGAATATAACAATGAGTGAGTATAGTGAAATATAACAATGGATGGATATCAAAGATAGGAAAACTTTACATTATCAAAAGTTTTATAAAAAATGATGTAATTTTAGAGTTATCATCTTCCAAAACCCTGCTCAGTAGAGATCTAACTAAACAAATAAAGTATAAACAATCAGATACTGCAATAGATCAAAGCAATTATTATTACATGAATTATTGGCTTTTAATTCATTTTTAGTTTCAAAACTACTTTTCAAACTACCTCAAAACAATTAGAACACTGTTGAAATTATTGCAAATTCATTGTAATCAGTATATTGAGGCATAATAAAAATTATTTTTTTAAGATATCATCATCAAATTTTGGTCATATTTTTACAGGATCTAGACATTTTTTTCTCCAAGTATAAAAGAAAGGAACTATCCCTGCTGTTTGCTCTGTGAAGTTATGGTTTTAAATTCTTGATTTTTTAAAATGTTACCTTATGTACACACACACACACACACACACACACACACACACACACACACACACACACATATATATTATATAGCCAAATAAATTGGGCAATATATTTCTTTTTATTCTTTTATAAAGAGTTAAGCTTTGATTACAAATGACTGAAAGTTGCAAAGCAATTGTTTTCAGTTAGAGCCATTAATAATTTGATTATCATAAAGGAACTTACTTTATGTACCACATACTCCAGCTGATAATAGGCAGGCATGGGGTATGGGCAGTATTTGTGAAGGATGCTGCGGTCATAGAAAGCCTGATTATCATTAACACTGGAATGATCAACTGGGATGAACTTATGCACAGGGTCCAACTTGACGACTTCAATCTTGGCTGCCATATTGGATCCTACAAACAAAAAAAATAGTAACATTACATTCTGTTCAATGTATAAACAAATATAGAAAAGTTTATATCAAATCATATTGTAAAACAGAAAACATAAAATGTTATCAAAAATATTATTAATGATATTTTTGTTCAAAGTTCATTCAGCTAACAGTGAATTTGATTAAACATACTGTAGAACATGAAAATATCATAATTCTACTCTGCAAGTGATCTCTAGTTGAAGCACAGAGTAATCAATTTTGCTCCAGTAAAACTATCAAATTCAATAATATTTTAACATAAAATAAAGTGATAGTATTTACTCTCAAAATATTATTGTTACAATAGTTATAATATAAGAAGGTAGGTGGTGACCCATTTGTGCAGAGCAAAGAGATTCCCAAGGAGGCTTGAAGCAATTGACAGATAGTGTTAAGGGTAAAAAAAATCCAGGTTTATGGTATAGAACTGAGAAAAGAAAAAGCTGAGATATGGCTTGATTGCTTTTAATGAGTATTCAAATTAAATTTAAAAATTAAGGAAATTAACTAGTTTTAATAAAATAGATGGTTTTTGTGTGGTGCTTAATAAATCAATCGTAAATATTAACTTGGAGATAACTCAGTATAATTAACTAAACAGCTACACTCAACAAATTGGATGAAATGATGACAAGTAATAAATTATTTCCTTGGGTGAAGTAAAAAGAATTATTTATAAAAACCTTCAAGAGTAAGTTGATTGCATAAAGACCTATTCATTGAATTTGTTTGGTTCCTTAGGTAGTATAATTTCAGAGAAAAGGTTTCTAAAACACTTGGCCTAAGCCAACCAATAAGCTACGTGATTTGTTTAGAGAAAGACATATGTTCAAATGGATTTGCAGGAAGAATAGTTTTTAGAAAGTTATCAGAAATTGTTCAAGTGGCTGTGCTTTCCAGAACAATGTAGAACCTTAGAAAATGTAAATTAATGGACAAATCATTTCAATATATTGATGGTAAGCTGACAGGTATCTTCTATGTAGATATCTTTAAGGTCATTAGAGAAGAGATATGGGATATACAAGAAAGTCAGTGGAAAGGTTGATCATAGCATCAGTCAGAAGACCATTAACCTGCAGAAAGTGGGAGAATGGATAAGCATAATCATCATAGTTGTGAATGTGCAGTTCAAAGCTCAGACTACTGTGTATCCCTGTCAAACATTAGAATTAGGCAAATGTTTGGTCTACAAGATATTGTATAAGTTATTTCTACTACTTATGTTCTTCAGACAAACCTTTTAAAAAGAATCAGTTTACTTGTCAGCATATCTTACTTTCAGAATGATTTTTATGTATATTGTAACCAATTTGTCTTTTAGGGATGTGCTTGATAAATAAACACTTCTAAAAGTATTGTCAACATTATTGTTATTTTACTTTTTTTCTGTTATATTTTTCATGCTATAATATGCAGGATAATCAATAATTAACTAGTTCATTACTGCAGCAAATATTTGTTACACCTCCAAAAACTTAAAAGATATTTCCCAGGCACAAATGGATGTAGCCAGGATTAAAGCCTTAGTTAATGTCAACATTTAACTTTCATAAAGTAAATAATGCACATATGTAATTTCAGTAAAATAATAAAACCAGCAAATCAAAATTAAGGATTTAGCATCTGGTCAATCAAATGGAAGATTGAGAATCTAAAATTTTGGTCAAGTTGAGCCTATCTCTACCAATATAAGTAGAGGAGAATTAGTATTTAGACAGCAGTATAGTGACAAACAGAGAAAGTAACCACATTGATAAACCAGGAATGATGAATCTGCATGACACACTGGCACCAAAAGTTCCACTCACTACTCCTGAATGAGGAATTGGACATGAGAACTAATGCTTTGCCAATAGATAATTGGATTTATTTGTAAATATAAGCTTTACATGCTAAAACTAAATATGCTCCCAAAAGTGTGATCTATGACTGATGCTTGCCATTCCCACAATAAACTTATTGCTCTGACAGGGACTTGTCCTTTTTCTTTTCCACTGTGCCAGTGTTCTGTCTAATAAATAGTTATTGTTTGTCCTATAAATCCATGTTTGTGTTTATTCATGTTTCTGAAGTTAGTGGTGTTACTGCCTTAGGGTCAATGAAACAAATCATAGCTATAACATCTCTCTATATATTGTCACTCAAAAGATTAAACATCCATATATTGAAGTATCATTAATAAAATTTATAAGATGATACAAGAAAACATGGAAATATGAATTATGACAATAATAAAAATATGATAGGAATAATATTTAAAAGGAAAATAGAAAAAAGAAATAATGAATAATTATAAAGAAGAATTAGCTAATTTGTGAGTAGTCGTCTTAAAATTATTTCCTGTGTTCAGGAAAAAAATATTGTTGCAGAAATTAAATAACCATGCTTATGCTATTTAAAGTTTGATAAATTGTTATAAAAAGTATAAGAGTGTTTGAGGATAAAATATTATGCATACATTTTTAAAAAGACAGTAATACAACATTGCACAATTCTAAATATTCTTTAAATATTCCAGGAAGATGTACTTATTTTGAATATGTTCTTTTCGAATGCCGTGGATAACAGCCACTTAGGACAAGTTGTGTGGAATGCATTATATTCTCTTTCTCTTCATCTATGTGTACATGTATATATGCCATACCTAAAATAGAATTCTTTTGTTAAACTTTTACATATATATAACTTGCTTCCTCACATGTATACATTTATATGCATTCATCTACATGATGCAGTAAGCAGGAACTGATGCAGTAGAATTACATGAAAATAATTGATAAATACTTACCTCTTTGAAGATTAAATGTATTCTCATATTTCCATTCCATGTCAGGCAGGTATCGCACATCATGTTCAACATCCTTCACTTTGCTGCGGTCCTCTTTCAGAACATTGCTAGATGTCTGGATTGCGGGCAGTTCAGTTTTATCTGAAAATTTCACAATACCAGTATAAGTAGTAGATGCAACCAATGATAGAATCAAACTTCATAAGTTGAAAATGATTTTTGATGATAAAATATTTTATAATCAATCCCACATGTATTATTCTCCTCGTGTGAATTGTTTTTTCAAGTAAATTCTTCCACAACCTTATTTCTTCTTGCATAATTATTTATATGCATGAAAAGTACAATTATCAAACAGAAAATTATTTTCCTAATTACATTCTATTTTCCATATATTAAACTAATTCATCCTTTTTCATTGTAAAACTTATTTGGAGTAATGTAAAATAATTTTCATCTACTAACTCCTATTTTACCTGATTGCATATCTTACACTTCCCATTCTAATTTTGAAGTTTAATAAATATTTAGATACTTCAGCTAAAATAAAATTATATGAAAGGTAATTTGAAAGTTAACTCGGCTATTCATTTTATTTGTCAGCTCAACAAAAGCAAAATAATCAAAATTAGTTTTAAATAATTGCTAACCATGAACTACAATTTATGTTTAATAAAATATGACATCTAAGTCAAAAATGTTATCATTGTAACTCATAACATACAGTAGTATAAAAAATTAAAATCATTTAGCAGATCATTTTTAAGAAATTTTAGAATATTTTTAGAAATTTAGAATATTCATTTTATAGAAATGGCAAATTGTTTGAAATATTAACATCTTTTAAAATGTTTAATTTTGAAATTCAGCTATATAACTTGACAAGGCTAATTTTTTTCTCATTCAAAACAAAATTGTACAAGCTTCAAAAATAGACTATAAAAAGCAATATTAATTATTTATAAAAGTACTTTATTGTATGCCAAGAATTATTTGAAGGAAATATTTAGTAAAATCTTGCCCCAAAGTGAATATTTATTTTAATAAAAATGATGATTTTTTTAGGCATAGCTTAGATGTGGCATAAGGCCAAAACTATAGAGCACCCAAGGAGGACTGAGCTCACTATTCAGTTAATAAAAATGACTACAATTTATTACTCTATTTTTGAAGTGTCTGTCTACAATTTGAAGAACTTAATATGAAATATTAACTTCAGAATGTTTTTATTGTTTTGATGTTTCAGAATTCCAACTTTCCTTTCCTTGATGCTGAATTTCTTTCAAATTATTAAATTTTTTCTTTTTGTTAAAAAGGTAAAATTTTTGGTTTCATTTTTTCCCATCCATACATCCAAGTTTATGCATTTGCCTTCAAAGTTATTTAGTATTCCAGATTATTTTTCAGTTAAAAAATGAGAAATAATTCATTTTTATGTACAACCTTTCAAATAAAGTAAGGTTATAAAAATTAGAATTTAAAGCTGCTGTTTTTAAATTTTTTTATATTATTTAAATGTTTTTAAAACATTACAAAATTAATGGCAATTTTGATTATAAAGATAAAATAGACATAATATATGAGAATATTAGATGGAATCTTATATACCATATTAGAAAAGAATATAAGAAATATTATATTATTTTGATTTGTTTCATTACTTTTATTTCATTTGGAAATTAAATATAGAAAATGTCCAAAATAGGAATAATTGTCACTATCATACAGTGATTCAGCTGGAATAGTTGGTTAGTTTCATTGTGACCAGAAAATTGCAAGAAAACTGCTAAATTAAAAGTAATATTTAACAAATAATGAAAGTAACTGTAAAGAAATAGCTTTTATAAAAATGTAAACATTATAAGTATTACATCTTGACAGATACATTTAGCCCAGAGAAAATTTAACTTGTATGTCATCTCCTACATGATGACAACATAATGAATAAATAGCAAATACTAAGTTTAAAAAATATCCAATAATTGAAAAACAAGTAACAACCAGTTTTTCCAGATTTTGATTTCCAGATTAGTTAAATGTGTTAGATCCAAACTGTTTGTAAAATATTTACAGTCATTAGATCCAAATATATATTGTCTTGTATTTAAACAAAAAAGTTAACTAAAATTTATTTTAAAAACTTTACTAATCTATTTTCTTTAATAAAACTTGTGTATGTTGGAGAAATTGTATGACAAAGTGGAAGAATTTTATTTTTTCACTTTGTCATACAATTGCCCAATACCATCCTTCATATATAAAAATATATATCATTATCTCATATATATATATATATATATATATATATATATGTGTATGTATGTATATTTGCTGATACCTGACAAGTTCATCTATCAAACTCTGGAGTCCATCAGCTAAGTGACAAACTTTTATGTTCATAAACAATGTGAGACCAGACTCAAACATTTGGATACATGCTTGCGCCTGGTTAGGCATTGTTTATATATGTATATGTATGTGTTTGTGCAAACCATAATGCCTAACCCATATGTATGTATGTCTCTGTGTGTATGAGCGTCATCCCAAAACAGACACAGAGGAGAATTCCTCCCACTATCAACACCAAACATAATCAAACAAAAACTGACATAATATTCTCAAATTTAAAAAAATAAGTCAGTTTGTCAGAGGATTGCATAAGCATGAAACCAACGATCACAAAAAAATGCATTCAACTAAATATATATATATATATATATATATATATATGAGGGTAAGATTGACAGATATGTGCTTAAATATATGCATATATCACCATGTTTGTTTTCTTCTGTTTAATGAAATAAACACAAATGTAAAAAATATAGAAATAGTTATAAGCATTCTTACATACCTTGTAATTTATTTTATGGGCTAAAAGTGAAAAGTTGAAATTGTAATAATAAAATTGGAACTTCAACATATTTTGAGTAACAAATTTAATTTTGATGATTGCCTTAAATTTCTTCTTTTCTTTATTATTTGATACTAGAAAAGCAGAAGAAATTTACAATGAACTGAAAGAAAAATTAATAGATGGATCAATAAATCCATTGCAAATACAAATAAGAGTAACATATTGTAATGGTTTTAGACTCTGGCTTGAGATAGGGATAGTGCTTGTAAGAGAAAAAGTTGAAGAGAAAAATAAAAATGGCAGAGGAAATTTGTGAGGACTTATATGTTTAATGAACAGAAGAGAAAAGGGTAAGAAAAAAAATGCAGATGAGGAAATTAAATGTGAGATAGATAGTGAATGAAGAAAAGAAGTGTAAAAGATGGAAGAAAAAGTGGTGAGAGAGATAGTTAGAGAGAAAAACATGAAAGAAAAAACAAAAGATGTATGTTCTAAGAATGGAAGAGATATGGTAAAGAGATATGATAGAGGAAAAATTCAAAGCCAACTTGTATTTTTTAACATAGCATTAAAAATGGTATGAATATCAATTCTCATTTATGTTGTGCTATTTGTTGCAAGTTAAAACTTTGGAGTTTTATTATCAAGTCATTATATCCAGTATATCTATAATCAAATCTTGGTAGTGTGAAGTCATTGCTGAGTAACCTTGTTTTGAATATACATTTAGTAAAAAGATACAATAAATGATATATAAATTATTTTAAGATAAAATGGATAAATGATACATAATGAAGCATCATTGATTACAAATATAGTTTGATAAATAAAAATATAAATACTATCTAAAACCCCACCATTCATAAGTTATATGATGGGGTGGTGATTTTTTTTTTTTGCTTACTGTATATACTTGGGGATAGGTTGCAAAATATTAGGGGTGCGACCTATCTGCTTGACATAAATGTAAAATAACACTACCTTGTCTTTCATAATTTCTGAGAAATCGGAAATGATATCCATAAACACTAAAGCTGTGGTTTTTCTCCTTATAGAAACAATTTATCTATCATATATACTGACTCACTGCTTTAACCTTACCTCATGCTGCTAGATTCACATATCCATCACAATAAATAAATAAAATTATAATATATTCATTGATCCATCAGTCACTGTTCGATCAGGGCCCTTGCACTAGACTGAAACATGCATGCATAACTGAACATGCATACATAAGTTAAGGAACCATGTGTAGATGTATATTGACAAAGAAAAAATAATCCCACAATTCATTCTGTAAAATATATATAATTTTATCAAAAATACATTGGAAAATATGACTTAAAGAAATGAAATATATTTTTTATGAGATAATTTTCTTTAATGGTTGATTCATAACATTAAAAGGTGCAGTGGCAATTCTGGAACTCTGAAAGTGGAGGGACAACTTGGGGGCTGAGATTTTTCTGCAGCGGAGGTGGGGGGAAAATTCAAGCAGCATTTTTATTTTTATACTACACCACTATCATATACACAACTTAGGAATGAGTTATGTTACTTCACTAAATTAAACGGAATAACTTTTCATTCATAGTAGTGGAGTTCTAATCTATTCTTACCCACTTTTCCACTCTCAAGCTGTTAGACCACAAGAGAGGTTAACTTCAAAACAAAATCAAAGGGTCAATACTAACGTCAATACTAGCAGAACAGTGTAATTTGCCTGCTATGATTTTTTTCCTTTACAAAACTTAGAAAAGCTGGCGAGGGGGACCACCCAAAATTCGAGGGGGGAGCATTGGCCCCTTCTGACCCCTCTGTAGAATCACCACTGAAAAGGCATTCTTAAGTGTTATTTATAAATAACAAAGCACATGAATCTAGTATTGAAAACGTTTGCACTATTTTGCATTGTGCAGCAGTAGCCAAATTTATAGTTTATAATTTTAATTGTTAAGATAGATATCTGATAATTCTTATGTTTAAAAAGAGTTGTGTAACTCCCCAGATTATAGTGAGACCTATCTGTGAGTCAAAGTATCAATTATTAAGCCATAAAGTAGGGGTGTGACCTATCCAGTGGGGCGACATATCCACAAGTATATTTGGTAACCAAGAAGCCCTTCCAAAAAGAAATCTGATGTTATGTCATTTGGTCATATTTTTGGCTGAGTGTGTTGAACTGATAAGTTTTTAGCACCTATATATTCATATATGTGGACAAATGTGGGTGTCTTTAGAAGTAAAGATAAGAGAATTTATTGGTAAATATGTTTGTCTT